TCTGAAATCAATAAAGATATATATTTTTCAAAAAGCAAGGACTCCATAACACTGAAAATTGACTGCTTCTACATCCCAAATAATAAGAGACAAGACTGGGTAAGATCTCCAGTTATCAAAGGCCAAGTGTTTCTGAGTTAAACAAATTGACTCAACTATGCAGCAGAAATGAGATTAAGAGTACAACATTTTCACTCAAGTCTATTGTTTAGATTAGTTTAAATCATTAAATTAGAGAGCAGGGTATGGGGGAAATAAGGCAGACTTGGGAAATAAGGCAGATTTGGGAACTAAGTCAAGAAAACACCTTTTTATATGGGTACTTGCAAGTGCAACTGACTAAAAGCAAATAGATTAGAAACCTAACACATTTAAAAAAGATTATATTGCCAAAGAAGCCACCAGTCTGCTTACAGAAAATGTGTGACTGCTAAACTTCAAAACAACTTTCAATCCCTCAAACTATAAGAGCATCATGTTCCCAAGGAGGGCACACTCCCCCAGACCCAATTTAGATACGGCTATAAAGGAAGATGGATAGGGGAGAACTCCCAGAGGGAAAATCAGAGCCACAGAAGATGGTCCTTTCCAGTTAGCCAAGAAAATCCACACTGCTACAGAGGCTTCACAGTGCCTGTCAAGCAGCACCTCATTCCTGTGTGCTCTAACTTTCCCACATTTCCTTATTTTGAATGGGAGTTTTTATTGAGGTTATGCCGTCCCTGTTACAATATATAATGTGTGTGTCGGGGGACTGATGTTTGGGGCAGATGGCAGGGAATAACTAATCTCTATAGTTAGTAGGTTGCCTTTTTGCTGCTATATCATCCAAAATCTAATTACAGTCCAGGGACCAAAATGTTTCCAAAAGCCAAAAGAAAATATCAAATAGGTGGGCAGATAACTGTGTCTGAAGCCTAGAAAAGAGGTCTGCCCTAAAGATTGTAAGTGAAAATAAGGGGTAATGATGTTATAGCCATGGCTGATATCTCCTAGGGGCAGCTTATAGAGTTACACTAGTAGAGAGCCTACAGCAGTACCTTAAGCAACACAAATATTAATTGTCCAAATGGATAAGCCTACAAGATAGGTGTAGAAGAAGAAATACGTATAGTATTATTACAAATATGTGTGTATGTGTGTGTCCAGGTGAGGGAGGCTCTGGTTTGTGTGTATATAAGTTATTCAAGGTATGTATGTATTTTTAAAGGTTCAAAGTTAAAAAAAAAAAAAAAATGCATATCAACCTTCTGAACATTGACTCTCTAGAGAATGGGATGGGGAAGACTTAATTTATGTTTCTTTCTGTACTCTTTAAAACTTTCAGCTTGTATCTGTCATAATTGTATTGTCATGTCTTCCATTCCCTGTAGGATTTAATTGAGATAGGTAGTCTCTTTTTATTTTTAAAAACAAGTCCTCAAAAAAAAAAAAAAAAAAAGAACTGAATCTTTGTGGGCAGAATGGGGATATTTCCAAATCTCTTTTAGATGACTAGAGTTGGCATTAAAAAGACAGTTCTAAGCAATGTGACTAGAGCACATTCTGGTCAATAAGCTGTGCATCTACCCCTGTGTGCTGAATCCCTGTGTAACAGAGCAACACAGTGGTCATTCTTCAGTTTTTCCATCTCTGTGGTCCTCTCTGTAGTAACCAATGATTCACTCTTCCATTTCTTTCATCTCTCTATCAGCTCTGCCTGCCACAGGCTGGCTCTCTGCTGTAAGACACTGGAAGAAAGTAAGTCTTTGTGGATCCAGAGATTAGTAGTTAAGGGGCAGTTGGTGACTGAATAAACACACTTTGTTCAGGAGGCTCCTTTGACTAAGTCTTGTCCTACAGGGGAGGTGGGCTCTTTGGTGCACTTTCACAGCTTAATTATGCCGCCAGAAGTAAGAGGCAATGCCTGAGAGGGCTTTGGAGCACACGGGGG